TTACAGGGACAATGGTCAATAGTGCTGCGATTTCCAGAATTGAAGATCCATCCAAATTGCTTACAAATCTACCCAAGTCAATGAGGAATCACAAATCGAACAAACTAAAACAAATTTACAGATCATATAGAAGACGAGAGGAAGCGAGAGAGAGAGAAGCTTTACTGTTCTTTGAGATGCTTGTTTGGATTGAGAGTCTGTTTTGGAAGAGAATCCATCATCAAAAACTCGATGAACAGAGAAAAAGCTGATAGGCAGAGCCGGATCGGGAGTTTGATGAAACATTTGAATAGTGTTCACTTTTTTCTTTTTTCATCTGAAATATTATATTAAACACCCTACGATACGATTTTGGAATGCCTTTTTGGAATATAGGGTTCACTTTAAAGAGACCACTTATTTCAAAAATAAAATAAATATATGTATTAGTTTGTTTAAAATATGTTATTTACTGGAATAAAAATGAAAGATTTATTGAAATAAAAAACCATTTTTTTCTAATTTAGTAATTTACGAGAAAAAATTAATTATTAGTTTTTTCATAATTTTGTTTATTTTTGTTAAGAAATCTATTTTAAAAAAAATTATACTAAATGTTAATAACAATTTTTTTTTGTGCAGCGTGTAATTTCACTGATTTAATTATTTTGGTTTTCCTAAACATTTCTAATATTTTTGTTGTATCGGTATGTTGTATTGATAACTATGTAAACGTTGTTTTAATTTAATAAAGTTAAGACGTCAAAAAACTATGTAAACGTTGTTTTAATTTAATAAAGTTAAGACGTTAAAAAAAAAATTCCGAAATTTCAGATCCGATTCTGCTGATAGGGTTATATTTCGTCCAAATCTCTAGCAGAACTGCAAATCACGTGCAAACCATATTGTTTTGTTCACGAATTCGGATCTTTGAACAATATGGTTTACAAGTGAATCGCAGTTTTGCTAGATTGATTTGTAGTTTTGCTAAAGGTTGAATAGCAGAATCCTAGATGGTAGAAGAGTAATAAATCCATGACAATTGTAACCTTTTATCCCGTAAGCCCAATACAAGCTGTACGGAGATACTCGGAAAAAATTAGGGTAAATCAAAGAAAGGTTCATTCGATGAATTACCATATCAACCATATTGATGTTTATAAAACTTATTGTCTAAATAAATTAGAACGAATCAATCTAATATAATATTTTAAGATTTTTCAAAACCAAAGTTATGAGAGGCTGCCATGTGTCATCTAATTTTTTGACTTTTAGCTTTTTAATTTATTTATTAAAAATTAAAAATTAAGTTCTCTTAATATCTTTATCAATTAGTTGTAACAATTTAATAGGTAATTCTTATYTAAATTAATTCCAGCAAATTACATTTAAGTGTCTTATGCACATTTATGTAATTCT